TAAATAAAAGCATGGTAAGCTGTAACTGTAATAAGAGGATTTGGGTGTTTGCAGTAAATTAAATTGGGTTATGTTGTTTTAAGTTTTCTTTTTTCGAAATGTAAATTTCTGGTTTGTCAATGCTATGAACCCTTTTCTTACTTCTTATTTCTTTTTCCTCTCTTTTCGGCCAACAATGTTATGGTGATTCAAATCTTACAAATTAAAATGTTCTTTATCCTGTTTGGACCATCAGATTTTGAGTTGGACCATACCAGCCAAGTGTTCTATCACAAAAAGGGCCGAAATGAGGCGGGCCCAACGGCCTATCGTCTCCTTCCATTTTCATGGCAGATCCTTATGTTTTCCTCGTCCTTTATGCGTTTTACTCCTTCAATTTCTTTAACATCAAAGTTTTCGGCCACTTTTAACATCAACTTTCAATTGACGTTTTTTCCTTTTACCTCTGATAAATTATACATTTGTTAAACATTCTTAAATCTCAGATGTACCTCACAGTGAAATGAGAACACATTACTAGCTATTTGCAAGCCTCCAGACATTCAGAAACACAAGGTCTGTTGGGATTCTGTGTTTGATGATGAATGCGGCCGGTTTCCACTTTATCTCTTTGCATCCTATCATACTTTCAATTGTGTTCTGTTCAATTTTCTTCCTTCCACATTGGAATTATCAAGTGACTTTTGCTAATAAATAATTTCTATATTAAATGAGTAAATCTATACTCACAATAATACTTACCAATAAATATTTATGACATCAAATGAGTAAATCTATATTGATTCACAAGTTACACTTGAATGAAAATATTCAGTGTATTTAATCTATAAGAAAATATCATCTAGTTATTATCATGAAAGTAATAGGGTTTAGTTAAAAAAATAAAATTAACAGGTGTTAAAAGAATTTTCTTTTATAAAGTCCAATTTAATCTGATCCTATATTAATTACAACTTAATCTGACTTCTAGATAATAGGGGTTTATTATAAAAAAATTAACAAATAAAAGAAGATAATCATATTTTGCAATTTGAATTGCAAAATATAAAAAATCATTGGATAGAAAAAACCCCTAATATTAAAAGTATGTTTTGATTGAGGAAAATAAAGAGAAGGAGAAACGAGGAGAAGATTTTTTCACCAATCAAATTACAACATTTAAGGGGTGGGGAAGATAAATGTTATAATTTGATTGGTGAAAAAATTTTCTCTCCCCTTCTTTCCCTTTAATTTCATTTCTCTCAACTCAAACATACAATAAAAAAACCTACTCTTCATCTAACAAGTTTTAGTTGTCCACTCCAAATTGTATAATAGTTTTTTAATAAAAGAACTAATAAAAACATCACTGTTAAATTCAAGAAAGGCCAGAGCCCAGAAGAGCTTGGGCCCACGAACGGATGGGCTTTACAAATCAGTGAGCTCGACCTAATTGTTAGTTAATAATTAATAAAATAATTAATTTTTATTAATTAATAGATTAAAATCAGTTTATAAATTATT